AATTTATATTTTTAAATAAGATAAGATGTTATGAAAAAAATTGTTATGTACTACACTTCTAAATAAACTTAACAAAAAGAAAACATCAATTTATACAAAGATTAGAAAATAACATGAGTAAAAAAATCAAAGGTTATGTTTCATAGCAAGTCCTAAACTTCATTTTTTAGGTAAATTTAAGCCCTAAATTTAACTTGACTCTTCTGTGCTAATTAAAAACTAAAACAATTTTTGAAATCTAATTGAAGCACGAAAAATGTAATCTTCTTTGCAAAAGCTAATCGAAAGCAGGAGATGGACGAGATGAGAAATATAGGTACACGTGAAGGTACAGAAGAAGGTTGGACACTAAAACACTAAAAAAGGCATTAAATATATATATATTTAATTATATCATAAGTTATATAATAAAAAAATATAGTTTTATTTTTTTAATTTTTCTAGTTATTTTAAGATTTAAACTACTTGAAATTGTCCGTCTAGATGTCAATTTTTTAACTCTGACAACCCTTAAAGACATCATCAAATGTTTTAGTTGTTACACGATGTATCTCTAAAATTTCAAGTGCAGTTGTGGGCAACTGTGGAAAGGCATAAACCCACCATCAACAAGGTGAATTGACAAGCTGCAGCGAGATGGAGTGACGGTAAGGAATGACGATGAGGAGCAAGAACAAGCCATCCGATGAGAGATCTCTAACTTCTAGGCTGCCAATGTATGATCAAGGACTCCTGAAGAATGCAACGTCCTACCTGTTCACAAGGTTCCCCCAGAATTGGACGCCTAAAAGACTCTGGCACTTATTTGCCACCTACGGTGTTGGCCTTGGAAGAATAGTTGATGTGTTCATTCCTAAAAAGAAAGACAGGAGAGGAAACAGCTTTGGATTTGTCAGATTTGCAGGGGTCAAAAACAAAGGAAAGCTAGAAAAATCACTCAAAATGATCTGCTTTGGTACAGAAAAACTCAGAGTTACTCAAGCCATAGAGAGAAAACCTCCCCAGTCTACTCCAACCCCACCTCGTCATCTCCCCCCTCCCCCACTTCCTGAAACTTTCAAGTCAAAAACCTTTGCTGAAGCCCTCCTCCATGGCCCAAGCGCCTCAAATGCACTTAACACAAAGCCCCAGCCACAACAATCAGTTTGCATGGATGAATTTACAGCAGCGAAGTCCATCCTGGAAATGGGAGAAGAAATGGAGGATTCTAGCTGGCTCTGCAATTGCGCGACGGGCGAGGTTCATGCACCCAACCTTATCCCTGGCTTACAACAAACATTTTGGGAAAATGGCTTCTCAGACATCACGACAGTGCCTATGGGTGGCAACAAAATCCTCTTGAAATGTGACGATGAGGATTCAATAAACCACTTTATCTCAAAAGAAGAAAACTGGTGGGGTAAATGGTTTAAAAGGATTAAGCCGTGGAGCCCATCAGATGTAGCAGAAGAAAGACTTGCTTGGATTCGAGTCACGGGCCTCCCTTTGCATGTCTGGAACCAAAGAAGCTTTGAAAAAATTGGAAATTTCTTGGGTAGCTTCGTCCTGGTGGATCAATTTACTATTAATAAAGAATGCTTGGATGCTGCTAGAATCCTAATTTCAATAGTTGAAATAGGCCAGATTGACAAGGAGATCTCTATCAAAGTCCGAGACCATCTGTACTCTTTAAAAATCATGGAAGATCGTTGGCGAACTGATCCATGGTGGTTAAAGGCTTCAAGTGTATATGAAAGTGATGAATTTGGGTTTGATGAGCAATCAGAGTATGAGTCTGACCGTCTATCCGGTGGCTGGAGTCTCCCCTTCGATGAAGAAATTGAACAGCCAAAACAAATTGAAAAAGAGCCGTTACTGGAATTAATGGCACTGCTAATTGAATCTGCTAATTCCAAGAGTAACACTGCACTAAGTAATGGTGTGATTGCATTGGGAAAGCTTGCTGTGTCAGAGAACAGAGGCAGATCTAATGATGAATCCCAGCAAATCTCTACACCCTCTCTTAGAACAAATTCATCTAACAAACATGTTGACCCCACAAGCCCACTTCAAGCCCACGAGAATTCACACAAAGCTCAGTGTAGTTTGGGCCTCAGCATAAATGCAGATGACCTTTTGTGCCAGGAAAATCAAGAACCTAGCCCTCACCAGAATTCCAAAATCCCAAAACTCATCACTTGCTTACATCGTGGAATTTGGAAAAAATCAGTTAAAGTAGGGAAGTGGCGTAAGAGACAATCGCAGAAGGCAAGGGTTCTTGGTCCTTCCTTGTCAGACAGCCTCATGGAGAAGGGAAGCAGTATTAGTGCAAAAGAAGTCGATGAACTGGATATAAGGAGATTTGTGGAGTTTGGTTGACAACTGGGTCTTTGCTTTGTGGGCGATGAAGAAGTCTTTGCTTCAAAATTTCGTGAAATTGAAGAGCGTGACAAGGGATTGCTTAAGTCTTAAATTTGGGCTTCTCCCTTACCAGAGGCATTATTCATAATGAAGGTTATTTCATTCAATATTCGTGGGCTGGGGAACAGCACCAAAAGATGAGAGTTGAGGAAGATGATTAACAATGAGCACACCAATTTCCTGTTGATTCAAGAAACAAAAATCGAGTCTGTTGATAAGAATTTTTGTAGGACAATCTGGGGATCAGATGAATTTGATTGGCATGCAAAGAGCTCAGAGGGTAGATCTGGTTGTCTTCTCTGTATTTGGGACACAAATTTATTTGAAAAAATTGAAGTATTTGAAGGCGATGGGTTTGTGGGTGTAGTGGGCTTATAGGGTGTTAATAAAGTTAGGTGTGGCTTCCTGAATGTATACGGACCTTGCAATGTTGTTGCTCGAGCCAAGCTGTGGAATGATATCACTAGCCAAATCAAGAATCGAAATTGTATTTTCTACATTGGGGGTGATTTCAACTGTGTTAGAGGAGGGCATGAAAGAAAAGGTAAGATGACTTTTCAACCTGGATCTAATGATTTTAATCTGTTTATTGAAAAAAATTGCGTGGTGGATTTAGCACTATCAAATAGAAAGTTTACATGGTATAAGAGTGATGGCTCTGCTCATAGTAGACTTGACAGATTTCTTCTTTCATAAAATTTTCATGAGATATGGGGTAATTGCGTTCAGCTTGCTATGACAAGAGGTATTAGTGACCACTGCCCTATTAGCCTTAGCTCAAGCAACTTTGACTGGGGTCCTAAACCTTTTAGATCAATTGATAGCTGGACTTCTCACCCTGGTTTTAGTCAAATGATTGAGAAGTCATGGAACTCTTTCTATGTTAAAGGATTCTGGGGTTTCAAATGCAAAGAGAAGTTAAAGCTTCTCCGACAGAAACTTAAACAATGGAATAAGGAAGAGTTTGGCAACATTGATAGTCAATTAGAAGAGGCTATGAAGAAAGTTGATTTTGTTGATTTCAAATGTGAAAATCAGGACCTAACGGAGGATGATATGCTCAAAAGAAAGGAGGGCTTTGTAGATCTTTGGCAATGCTTGAGGAAAAAAGAAAGTTTATGGAGGCAAAAATCTAGAGCTACCTGGGTTAAAGAAGGGGACGCAAATACCAGTTTTTTTCACAAAACTATTAATGGAAGAAGGAAAAAGAATATGCTCCATGGAATTAGATTTTAGGGAACCTGGATTGATGATCCTGCACAAGTAAAGAAGATTGTAATGGACCATTTCTCAAGCCAGTTCTCTTCTCAGCCCCAATTACGACCATCATTACAGCACCTTCAGTTTAATAAATTATCTGACATGGACAGAGGGATGCTTGAGGCAGAATTTACTATTGAGGAAATTAGAGAAGTAGTCTCTTCTTGTGCTAGCGATAAAGCTCTAGGGCCTGATGGGTTTAATTTTCACTTCATCAAATCAATTTGGGAAACAATTGAAGGTGATATTATTAATTTCCTCAATGAATTTCATCAAAATGGAAGGCTGGTTTGTGGCCTTAATGTGTCCTACATCACTCTTGTGCCAAAAAAGAAAAACCCGACAACCTTGCAAGAGTATAGGCCAATAACCATGGTCGGTTGTCTTTATAAAATTTTGGCCAAAATCTTATCAAACAGGTTAAAAAAGGTCATTGGCAAAATTATTAATTCAAGTCAATCTGCTTTTTTAGAAGGGAGACAGCTTGTGGACGGCGTCTTGGCCCTTAATGAATTGGTACATTATTTGAAAATGAAAAAGAAGAAGGGACTCTTGTTCAAAGCTGATTTTGAAAAAGCTTTTGACTCGGTGAATTGGAACTACTTGGATTCTATGCACTTCAATATGGGCTTTGGAGATAAGTGGCGAAGCTGGATGAAAGAATGCCTATCTTCTGCTTCCTTCTCTATTCTTGTTAATGGTAGCCCTACACCAGAGTTCAAAATGCAGAGAGGATTGAGGCAAGGTGATCCTCTCTCACCTTATCTTTTCTTAATTGTTGCTGAAGGCTTGCATGCTCTACTTTACGAAGCTGAAAGGAAAAATCTTCTTGAAGGTGTGGATATTAATGAGAATTTATCTATTTCTCACCTCCAATTCGCTGATGACACAGTTCTTATTAGAGATGCTTCACTTAAGTCCATCAGAGCTTTCAAGTTTCTTCTTAGATGGTTTGAAATTGTCTCTGGCCTCAAAATCAACTTTGGCAAAAGCATCTTATATGGAATTAATACCGAAGAAAGGTGGCTTAGCATGGCAACTTCTACCTTAAATTCTAAGCATGGGAACATGCCATTCATTTATTTGGGGCTCCCGATCGGTGATGATCCACATAAAATCAGCTTCTGGAATCCAGTGGTGGAAAAATTTCAATCTAAGTTGGCAGCCTGGAAAGGTAGACTTCTATCATTCAGAGGCCACGTTACACTTCTCACGTCGGTACTTTCAGCTCTCCCCCTCTTTTATTTTTCACTTTGTAAAGTCCTTAAAGGTGTCCTTGCTGATTTAGTTAAAATTCAAAAGAATTTTTTGTGGGGAGGTTCGGATAGTTGTAATAACATTGCTTGGGTAAATTGGGGTAGGGTCTGCCTTAATAAATCAAAGGGAGGGCTTAGCATACCAAACCTTGCACTTAGGAACTCTACCCTTTTAGGGAAATGGTGGTGTAAATTCTATGATGATGATGAGAATGGGAAGTTATGGGAGAAAATCATTGTTAGTAAATACTACGAAGGTGCTCCTATTGATTCTATTACTAATATTGTCCATTCAATATTGTCTCCTCTTTGGAAAGATATCCTATCTATTGGCAGAGATGATGAAAGAGCTTCTGCTTGTTTCATTGATGGTTTTATTTGAAAGCTGGGTGATGGTTCAAAAACTAGATTTTGGAAGGATGTTTGGCTAGGCAACTCTCCTCTTATGGCTGATTTCCCTCACCTTTTCAATCATTGTTAGTAAATACTACAAATGTGCTCCTATTGATTCTATTACTAATACTGTCCATTCAAGATTGTCTCCTCTTTGGAAAGATATCCTATTTATTGGCAGAGATGATGAAAGAGCTTCTGCCTGTTTCATTGATGGTTTTATTCGAAAGCTAGGTGATGGTTCAAAAACTAGATTTTGGAAGGATGTTTGGCAAGGCAACTCTCCTCTTATGGCTGATTTCCCTCGCCTTTTCAACCTCACTCGAAGCAAGAATCTATTAGTTGCCGACTTAAAGCAACCCAACACAGATGGATGGGCCTTTCAATGGCGCATGCCTCCCTTTGGCAGGGAATTGGACGAGCTTAGGGTGCTGGAAAATATTCTGAAAAAGGTGTTCATCCCATATGATAGAGCTGATCAAGTTACATGGAAACACAACCTGGTGGGATACTCTACAAAACATGCTTACAGGTTCCTTGAGATCTCCTCATCATGTCTTGATAAGAGCTACTGTAAGATTATTTGGAGTCCATTCACACCATCCAAAGTCAGTATTTTTGCTTGGCGCCTCTTCTTAAATCGACTTCCTACCAAGGACAACCTAATAATTCATGGTGTTGACTTGGCTTCCAACTCAAATTGTGTCCTTTGTGGGGATTACATAGAGGACCTCAATCATATCTTTGCCACTTGTTGTTGTTCTCAAAATGTCTGGAAGTGGGTTTGCTGCTGGTGGGGGGTTCCTTTTATTCCTATTGCAAATGCTCCCTTGCTGATTATCGAACTTTGTTCACTTATGGATGCCAGGAAATCATGGAACTGTTGGGCTTTATCTATTCTCACCACAGCATGGACAATTTGGTACTTCATAAATGGTATTGTGTTCAATAAACTGAATTGGGAAGAAAACAACATTTATGGTCTAATTCAAGCTAAAACTTTTTGTTGGATTAAAGGAAAATCAAAATCTGCAGTGTTTAGTTTTGGTGATTGGTGTTGATTTCCAAATCTTTGTGCTGATGGCATTTAGACTACAAAATGTAACTCTTGTCTTCCCATTTCTTTTGTAAGGGTGAGTACCCCTTGTACTCTTTTA